GCACTGACTGCCTATTCTCTGCAGCCTCGGCTAACTAGCAAGGCCTCCGAGAGGAGCAGCGTGCAGCTGTTGGCCAGCTGCATAGACAAAGGAGACCTGAGTGGCCTGCACAGTCTGCGGTGGGAGCCCCCGACTGACTCGAGTCCAGTGCCAGCCAGCGAGGGGGGCCAGAGCCTGCCCCCAGCTGAGAGCATCATCCATGTTCCCCCACTGGACCCCAGCATGGGGATGGGGCATCTGAGAGCCACAGGGCAAGCTATCCCTTGCCTTCCTCAGTCCATTGGAAAGGCAGTCCCTCTGGCTGGGGAAGCTGCAGCACCAGCCCAGTTGCAAAATACAGAAAAGCAGGAAGACAGTCACTCTGGACAGAAAGGGATGGCAGTCTTGGGAAAGTCAGAAGGAGCCACTACTACCTCTCCGGGGCCTGGGGCCCCAGACCTCCTGGCCGCCATGCAGAGTCTGCGTATGGCAACAGCTGAAGCCCAGAGCCTGCACCAGCAAGTTCTGAATAAGCACAAGCAGGGCCCCACCCCCACAGCCACTTCCAACCCCATCCAGGACGGTCTTCGGAAAGCTGGGGCTACCCAAAGCAACATCAGGCCTGGGGGTGGAATTGATCCCCGGATCCCAGCAGCCCCCAGAAAGGTCAGTGGGGAAGAGCAAGCACTACCCAGAGGGCTGCCTGGGGGGTGGGTGACAATTCAGGACGGCATCTACACCGCTCATCCCGTGAGGACCTTTGACCCACCAGGGGGTGTCCAGCCTTCTGAGAGGGAACCCCAGTCAAGGCGCAGGGAGACTGCCCTCTCAGTCCAGGCTCCCCGCCCACTCCAGGGAGGCCCAGGTCAGAGTACTGGGCCAGGGCGGGAGGAGCCTGGGGGCCGCGCACAGATGGCCTGGGGGCCTCCAGGGAAGTTGATGGCAGAAGTCTGCCCAGGGGACCTCCAAGCTGCAGAGACCACCCTGAAGACTGCCCCTCTAGGCAGCCACAATCTGGCCTCTGGGCCCCAAGCCGCAGGTGCCAGCCCGCACCCCCATAATGCCTTTGTTCCTCCTCCTCCTACTCTCCCAGCTGCTGTGACAGGACCTGACTTTCCAGCCGGAGCCCGCCGTGATGAGGACTCCATCCAGCAGGCCTCTGAGCCCCTGAAGGACCCCTTTCTTCACCCCCACAGCAGCCCTGCTGGCCAGAAAACCCCTGGAGGGTCACAGACAAAGACCTCAAAACTGGAGCCCACCATGCCCCCAAAGAAGAAGCCGCAGCTGCCCCCTAAACCTGCACACCTAACCCAGAGCCACCCTCCTCAGAGGCTGCCCAAGCCCTTGCCTGTATCTCCCAGCTTTTCCTCAGAGGTGGGGCAAAGGGAACACCAACGAGGTGAGACAGATGCAGCCATCCCTCAGCCAGTCAAGGTTCCCACCACTGTAGGCCAGGGCCACATACCTCTGGCCAGATGCCCCAGTGGACATAGCCAGCCCAGTCCCCAACATGGCTTCAGCACCACGGCACCCAGGCCCACCAACAATCAGGCTACAGGCAGCAATGCCCAGAGCTCTGAGCCCCCCGAGCCCAATGCCCTCAACCGTGATCCCACCTCACTGCAGTGGGGCCCCAGCACCTCAGGAGAGCAGCCCATGGAAGGTTCCTACCAAAGGGCCCCTGAGAGCCCTGAGAGTCTGCAAAGAAACCAGAAAGAGCTCCAGGGCCTCCTGAACCAGGTGCAAGCCCTTGAGAAGGAGGCCGCAAGCAGTGTGGATGTGCAGGCCCTGCGGAGGCTGTTTGAGGCTGTGCCCCAGCTGGGAGGGGCTGCTCCTCAGGCTCCTGCTGCCCACCAAAAACCTGAGGCCTCAGTGGAGCAGGCATTTGGGGAACTGACACGGGTCAGCACGGAGGTCGCTCGACTGAAGGAACAGACCTTGGCAAGGCTGCTGGACATTGAAGAGGCTGTGCACAAGGCACTCAGCTCCATGTCTAGCCTCCAGCCTGAGGCCAGCGCCAGCGGCCACTTCCAGGGACCTCCAAAAGACCACAGTGCCCACAAGATCAGTGTCACAGTCAGCAGTAGTGCCAGGCCCAGTGGCTCAGGCCAGGAGGTCGGGGGTCAAACTGCAGTCGAGAACCAAACCAAGGTTGGATGCCACACTGAGGCCCAGAGTCAAGTCAAGATCAGAAATCACACAGAGGCCAGAGGTCACGCAGCCTCAACTGCCCCTTCCACCAGGAGGCAGGAGACATCAAGAGAAGATTTGTGCCTCCCTCGGGTCTTACCTTCCAGTCGAGATTCGCCCTCCTCCCCAACATTTATCTCCATCCAGTCAGCCACAAGGAAGCCTCTAGAGACTTCTAGCTTTAAGGGTAACCCTGATATCTCAGTGAAAAGCACACAAGCGGCTCAGGACATAGGCCAGGCCCTGCTCCACCAGAAAGGTGTCCAAGACAAGGCTGGGAAGAAGGACATCACCCAGTGCTCTGTGCAACCTGAGCCTGCCCCTCCCTCAGCAAGTCCCCTGCCCAGAGGGCGGCAAAAGAGTGTTCTGGAGCTACAGACTGGGCCAGGGAGCTCACAGCACTATGGAGCCATGAGAACCGTGACTGAGCAGTATGAGGAGGTGGACCAGTTTGGGAACACAGTCCTCATGTCTTCCACCACAGTCACCGAGCAGGCAGAGCCACCCAGGAGCCCAGGCTCCCACCTCGGGCTCCACGCCTCCCCCTTGCTGAGGCAGTTCCTGCACAGCCCAGCTGGGTTCAGCAGTGACCTGACAGAAGCTGAGATGGTGCAGGTGTCCTGCAGCTACTCCCAGCCAGCTACCCAGTGAGGCCCACCGCCTCCCACCACACCTGCCACCTGTTCCTGGCCTCCATTGCCCCAGGACTGAGGTGGGTGCCTGCCTCCTGCACACTGGAGCAAGGACCAAGAGGAAAGGGCATCTTCAGAGGATTACTGTGGGCCATTTCCCTTTCATCACTTCTTTCAGTAGGCCCAGTTCTTCCAAATGGAAAAAGAAAGGTCTGGAAGAGGCCCACTGAGTAGTACAGGCGTGGGGGTAGGACGGGGGCTCCCAGCTACGTCCTTGTGGAGGATGTAATATGTACAGACACACACATGTTTCTCACACAGGCCTGGCCCATGCATGGACATGTGTGAATCTGCACACCACTGCCTGAGTTAGAGTCCCCCAGAGTGTCCCTCTACCCAGAGTTTTAATTTTTTTTTTATTAGTCTGAATGCTCCCAGCCATCTGCTCCTTAATCTCTGGAGAGGAACAGAGCCAACTGGACACAGCGTTGGTCTCTGTTTGGAATCACTGTGAGGTCTCCAGAAGGACCTGGCCGCCAGCCCCTTCATCACCATCTCCATCATTCAGCTGGTCATCTGGTGGCCCAAAGGTCACACAAAGAGTCAGCAATCAGCATATCCCTAGAAGCCAAATGCACTGCCTTTCTCTGTCCCCACAACTGTCCCCCACTCTGCACCCCAAATGGGAAGCATACGGTCTGAATAAATCCAAGTTTTATTCTCTATTCTGTGCATGTCTGACTGTGTGTACATCTGTTCCAGTCTGTGTTCCCACTGCAGGGGGAGAAAACAGCCACAACCTCCAGGTGCCTCATCTTCCTAGCAACAGTAGTGTGGGAAGGCTCTAAAAGCCACCCCTTCTCCTCCATCTTGGCTGGCAACCAGAAATGCCCTGCCCACACTTCTAGTCTCCTTGCCCCTATCCCCATTACACACACACACACACACACACACACACACACACACACAGTGCTGCCCTCTCTATCTCGATCTCCCCTCCTGGATGTTCTTGAACACCATCCTGGAGGGGTTCTTAGAATCCTGCCCCAGAGTTGGACAGCAGCCCATTCAGGCCTGGGAAGCGGGAGGAACTCATGCCAGGAGAATTCCTCTGCCCAAGATGTCTGGGTCACTTCTGCCTGTTCAGCCCAGGTGTCGTGTGCCAAGCAGGGGTTCCTGGGAAATGGAGTGCACAGATCCTGGCCTAGAAAGTCAGGATGTTTTGGTGAAGGGCCCTTTTCAAGTTGTCTTTCAAAAATCACTAAGCATCTTCTGTGTTCCAGGCCTGTTCTAGGCAATGGGGATACAGAGGTGAGGTCCAATGGGGTCCCGCTTTCAGGGAACTTTTTAGAATGAGGAGACAGAGACAATATATAAGAAAAATTAGATCAGGAATAGGGTGATGCATCTGACTAGGCCACTCTCCCATTTTGGGATAAAAGTCTTAAAATATGGTCATGTGACAATGGCAAGTGATTGCCTTAGACTGTGGCGTGGCCAAGGCAGGGCTCTCTAAGGAAAAAACACCTCAGCTGAGATCTAAATGACAAAGAGCAACTATGTGCAAATCGGGGGAGGAAGCATGCTAGGTAGAGGGAAGAGCACTTGCAAAGACCCCGAGGTGGAATAAATTTAGTTCCTGGATTTCCTGGATACCCAGGCGTTTGAAACTAGGTTTGCCTCACACCAAGTTTATGTGGAAAGTTACTCACACTTTGCTTCAATGGAAGAGACAGGCCCTATCCTACCCCTAACCCAGGGCCTAACCCTCCACAACCCTCACAGGCCCCTCATTGCCTGCTCAGCCAATATGCGTAGGGTTCTCCTGGGACAACACAGCTCTGATCTGGAAGGAGCCTGTGCCCTGTGGGAGACTGTGCTGTGTCGAGAATAATCAAGGTACCAAATCCACCTGCTTGGGCCTGGTACACAAATCTTGTTGATCCCCTGCCTTCTGCGGGATCTCACTTGATTACAGGGCCCAGCAGCCTATATAGGCAATGACCTTGAGCAGTCGGATAAATAACTCCCACATGCTTAGCGTTCCAATAATGGAACGCTAGAAAGTATAAAGAGCTTGAAGCTATGCCTGGCATCTGGAACTCAAAGACATTCACTTTAAGTATTATCGTAATTAAAAAAAAAATACATATCTTCTTTCTTACCTCCAGGGGTATCCCTGTCTCGTTCATCTTGGTACCTCTTTACCACAAGTGCCTAGAAGGCACTCCATAAATGTCAAATAAATGAATGCATAAATGAATGAAATGATTGAGGAAATCTGCCGATTCATCCAAGTAACTTTTATTGAGCACCTCATTCATGCCAGGCTCTGTTCAGGGTGCTGACAACAGAGATGAACAAGGCAGAATTTCTGCCTCAGCTTATGGAACTTCGGTTTCAAGAGGGAAGACAATATAGGTAGAAGCAGACAAGATAATTTTAGAGGGGAGAAATACTGTGAAGGAAATAAAATACAAAGTCCAAGAGGGAAATGTTGGCAGTTCCTTCAACTTGGGTGGTCAGGGAAGGCGTCTCAGCGGAGGTGACCCGAATGACAGAAGACTCAGTCCAGTTGGTTGGAGATGGCGGCCTGAGGGGAAGAGTGGGGAGAGGTGGCTAGGCCGGTGGTGCGCGCCGGCGGCGGCGTGCACAGAAAGAAGCGACTTTTCGGCGAGGCCGCTCCGGGCGCCCTGCACACCTGCGGCCACGCGTGCCGCCGAGGAAGGGAGGGGGCGGGCGGGGCTGAAGGCGCACCCCGCGGGAGGCGGAGCGCGTGGCGCCAAGACCCCGCCCCCGGAGCCCGCAGGGCGTGTTCCCACCGGCCGTCGCCGAGGCGACGATGAGAGCTAAGGGGCCGCCGAGTTCAGAACGTTCGGGCGGCGGCGACTGTTGCTGGGAGACGTCCGGCAGGAGCGCAGCCAGGGACTGGCTCTGCACTGCAGACGACGGACGCCAGGACGCGCCATCCTGGCCAGCCCTCTCGCTGAGGCTCCCTTCGGACTCCAGACGGATAGCGGGTTCCCGTCCTCACCCATGTCTAGATCCTGCTCCAGACCTGCAGGACTGGGCGCCTCCTCCCTCGCTGGTACTCTCTGTCATTGCCTCTGTGTCCGGAATTTGTCCACCAGTCCCCATCTTCACCGCCATCACCATGTCTCAAGCCATCGTGCATCCTCCCTTCCCTGGGGGATGAGGCACTGCCATAGCCTCCCCAATGATCCTCCTCCCTTTGCCCTGTGTGTCCTTACACTCTGTCCTCCAGCAGGCAGCTGGAACTCTTATAAATAAGAGTTTACCAGATCCAGGCACTCCTGCATAATACCCTCCACCGGCTCCCCAGCTCACTCAGTCTTAAATCCAAACTCCTCTCAGTGACCTGTAGGACCAGAATGACTTGCCTCTCTGCCTTCCTCTCCAACTTCGTTGGCCCCACTCTCCTCCTCACCCACATCACCCTAGTCACACTGTCTTTCTTGCCCTTCTCAGAACATACCAAGCTGATTCCTGCCTCCGGACCTTTGTACTTAATGAACCCTCTGGCTGAAAGTCTCTTCTCCCAGATGGTTAGTGGTTGAGCTCCTTCTCACTCAGGTCTCAGTTCCAATGTCTCTCCAGAAAGACCTTTCTTGATCAGTCCTCCCCGCTTCCCCCATCTAAAGAGGCCCTTGTTTTCACGCTGCTTTATGTTTTCCCATATTTTCCTCTCACAATATGAAATTATCTTGCTCACTTATTCCCTTGTTTCTTAGTGTTCTAGATATTATTTCTGCATAGCAAACCACCCCAAACAGGAATTTGGGACAGAGCACAGTTGGCATGGCTTGTTTCTGTGCCACAATGTTTAGGACGTCAGCAGGGATGTCAGCCAGAACACACACGTGTGGCCTCTCCATGTGGCCTGGGCTTCCCCACAACATGGCAATCTCTGGGTTGTCGAACTTCCTAAGTTGTAGTTCAGGGCTCCAAAGACATGTCCCATCTAACAAGGCAGAAGCTGTATCGCCTCTTATGACCTAGTCTCAGAAGTCATGAAAAATCACATCTGTACATCTCGTTGGTTACAAGTGAGTCACAAGTCTGCCCAGATTGAAAGGAAGGGGGTATTAGACATCACCTTTTGGTAGGCGAGAGGCAAAATTCTAGAACATGCATACGACTTTGGAAAGTGACATCTCCATAGTCAGTCTTCCCCCCACTGAAGTAGCATTTCCATGAAGAACCACATCTCATTTGATTTTTACTGCATCCCCAGTGCTAGAATGGTGCCAGAACACATAGTAAGTGCTAAATTCATGTTTTAGAGTGAATACATGAAGGATTATCTTTCAAGAGGTCATTCAAGCCCAGCTCTTCTCCCTGCAAGTGTATTTCCTGTCCCAGCCCTTGATTTTGGCCTGATCTGCTCTGGAGAAAGCCCAGTGTTCATATTTGAGGGTGGGAGTCAAGACTATTATGGGGGTGGAGATGTGCACATAAAAACAGTTATTGGGGATTAAGAAGTAGGTAGTCAATGAGTTTCTGGGACAGTTGTCTACTGAAAGGGTATTGAAAACTTAGTCTGCTTTTCCCCATTCTTTATCCTGGAAATGTCCAAGTGAGGTGGTTTTGTCCTCCAGGCCATAGGGAGCAGGAAAGTGGCCCAACAAGAATGGAGCTTTGGGGAGGCAGCTCAGGCAGCAGGGGTGGGGTTAGAATGCCTGTTAAGAACAATCGCAGGATCTGGGCAAGAGGTGGCCCTGAAGCTGCCCACAAGCCTGTGAAGTTACTGGAAGTCTCCTTGCTTTGTTATTTGTGAAAGACCTTCCATTTGATCTTCCCAAAGTCCTGGAGCACATACAGGTTCTCCTCCTGTCTTCCTGTTTTCCAAGAGGGCTGGCAGCATCTGCCATTCACCGAAGCCAGAGAAGATAGCCCAGGCTTCTCCCTGCATTACCGCCTCATATCAGTGGGCTTTGGCTTCCCAAGTACCTCTTCCCCTTGCCCCCTGCTTCATTTCTACGTTGATCTGTGAGCTCCAACATCCAACTGTACCGCAGCAACAGCCTCCTCATTTCTCTCCCCACCACCAGTGCCACCCCCAAACCATCAGTCCTCCAATCCAGCCTTGCAGCAGCTTCTCACCACCTCTGTCATCTTAAAATCCACGCTTCTTAGGTCATTCAAGGCCCTTCCTGTGCAGCTGTTACTGTGTTTATGGCCTCCTCCGGGAGGGGAGAATTCTATCTTCTAGATCCTTTCATGTTCTTTCCAGGCTGTGTCACATCGCCCTGATTTTACCCAGGGCCAACTCACCCATCTGGCACAGGGGGCAACAGTGCCTAGGGTCCACAATACTTTTAGAAACTCATGACAATGTTGTAACTTATTTTACTATAAGAAGGGAAAAACAAACTTTCAGGCCGAAGACATTGTTTGAATATATAACATTAACCTATTCGGCTTTATACCACCACAGTCGTAAAATATACTTTAAAATTTTTTTTATGGAAAAGGAGTCCATTAAGGCAAAAGTACTTAGGGTCCACAAAAATCATAATGGGGCTCTGGTTTTGGTTATGCTGTCCGTCCCCGCAACATGTGGCAGAGCTGCCTAGTTAGATGCCCAGCTAACTTCCGAAGAAAACTCTAGCAGAGGCTCTGCTTGGGAACCCTTAGGAACCACTCCCTGGTCCCAAATCAGGCGCTATGAGGACTGAGGTCCGCGCCCCAACCCCCACCTGCGTCCCGGAAGGCAGGCGCGCGGGTGCCCTGCTGCGGGCCAAGGGGGCGGTACTCAGATTTCGCTGGCTGCAGCTGGCCCGCCCGCCTGCCAGCTCCACCCGACCTAATCGGAAGGAGGAAGCGGGCCCTGAGCTGTTCTCTCCCTTCTTCCTCAAAAGCTCCGCCCACCACCCCCTCCCCACCCACTTCCCCCCCTGCCCCCCGCCCCCCCCCCCCCCCGCCGCGTTACGTTTCTTACGAAAAAGTGCTGCTGAGAATTCCCAGAAAGTCCCGGATATGAAGTCACTCGCGTGAGGTCACCAAGCCTGGTTCCAAGAATCAGAAGCTTGTGGGGGAGAAAGGAAAGCGCAGAAAAAGAAGGAGCAGCGCTCGGAGTCGTGGCCGCGGCCAGGGTTGAGGGGCCGGCTAGCTCGGCAGGGTCCCAGGCGTCTCCAATCAGGCCTTGGCCGGTGTGATCCCTGGAAAAGTTCCAAAGGAAACTAGGCTTCACTACCATATTAGATAAATGCCGACTGAACACAGAAATACCGATTCCTATTGACCAAGATCAAAAAGTCTGATACTGCATGGTGTTGGAGCAGATGGGGAAACAGCAGTGTTTATCCACTGTTGTCAGGGAGAGAGAACTGGCTGGGTCTGCCAGTTTGGAGAACAACTTGGAAATATGATCAGAATTTTAAATGAGCATACCTTTTGACCTAACAATCACGCATCTAGGGACTTATCCTACTGAGAAATACAAGGATAAATGCTTGTGCTATGTTAGCAGCACATCGTTTCAGCTGCATAGTTTGAAGTACTGAAGGTCAGAACCCACCTAGATGTCCATCATAGGAAATTAATCTAAAAAATGCCGTGGAATACTATGTGCTGTGAACAAGAATGAGGCAGCTGTTTATGAGCCAGCTCTGTGTTCCCCATTATGGTCTGTGTGTGTGTGTGTGTGTGTGTGTGTGTGTGTGTGTGTCAGAGTGTTGTTCTGCCGCCTGGGCAGGAGTGCAGTAGTGCAATCACAGCTCACTGCACCCTTGACCTCCTGGGCTTAAGTGATCCTCCCATCTCAACCTTCAAAGTAGCTGGGACCACAGGTGTATGCCACCATGCCTAGATAATATTTTTCAATTTTTTGTAGAGATGGGGGTCTCACTATGTTGCCCAAGCAGGTCTTGAACTCCTGGGCTCAAGAGATCCACCCCCCTCAGCCTCCCAAAGCTGGGATTACAGGTGTGAGTCACCACACCTGGCCTGGTCATTTCTTAAAGGTATATATTCATTCAACAGACATGTATTGAGCACCTACAAAGTGCATAGCACATTGCAGATACTGGAAATAAAACAGAGAACAAAACAGCTTATGGGGATGGGGGAAAGCAAGTAAAATGCATCAAGTCGTGATAAGTGCTATGGAGGAGACTCAGTCAGAGCAAGGGGTACAGAAAATGTCAGGGTTGTGCCATGTTAGAGTGGGTGGTCAGGGAAGGCCTCTGGGACAAGTTGATTTCAGAGCAGAGACCAGAATGATGGGAGAGAACGTCACCTCTCCGCCCGGTGTAGGGCCTAGCCTGTGCACAAGACTTTACTTGGACACGAAGACCAGCCAGGAGGCCAGCGAAGCTGAAGAGGAGCGGGCAGGGTCACAGTGGTGGGAGGAACGGTCTTGAAGGAGGGGACGAGGAAGATCAGATAGGACTTCCTAGGCTTTTGTGAGGATTTTGGCTTTCATAGCCATTGGAGGTTCTTGCACAAAGAGGTGACGTGACTCGACTTAGGTTTTAAAGGATCCCTCTGGCTGCTGAGGGGAGACTACTACAGAGGGGCAAGGGTAGAATCCGGGAGCCCAGGAAGGAGGCTGCTGCAACCATGGGAGATACAGCGGGGCTGGAGCAGGGTGGTAGGAGATGTCACCCAATGATCTGCTTCTGGGTGAATTCTGATAGTAGAGCTGATAGGATTTGCTGATAGCCCCAGATCTAAGTATGAGAGAAAGAGGTATGTGTAACTATAAGTATGGAGTTATCTTTCATCAGGAGAGGGAAGCTGGTGGGAGGAGCAAGATTTTGGGGAACCGAGGTGAAGAATCAGTCTGAACTGCTCACATGGATTGGGAATTCCGGTGTGATGGAAACATGAGAGCTGTTTGGAATTTGTAGCAGAGAGGGTCCCAGGGAGAGACAGCTGGCACCCTGGAATTGAGAAATTTGAGGAGGGTTTAATAAAAGGAGCCTTTAGAAAAGAGTAGCAGGATGTAGAGAAACCAGGAGGGTGGTGTAGGCCCCCAGGGCTAGTAAGAGTGGGTCCTTAACCATCCATAGTTCTGAAGGAGTGAGAAGAGGGAGTTGCTGGAACCTGGGGACAAAGATAACTGAAAGATAGCTGAGTGGAGAAGACAACATCCAAATTCATGTGATTTCATCCAAGGAAGGGAATTTATCCTTTTTTTTTTTTTTTGAGATGGAGTCTTGCTCTGTCGCCCAGGCTGGGGTGTGGTGGCACAATCTCAGCTCACTGCAACCTCTGCCTCCCAGGTTCAAGTGATTCTCCTGCCTCAGCCTCCCAAGTAGCTGGGATTACAGGTGTGCACCACCACACCTGGCTAATTTTTGTATTTTTAGTAGAGACAGCAAGCCAGTCTTGAACTCCTGACCTCAGGTGATCCACCCGCCTTGGCCTCCCAAAGTGCTGGGATTACAGGTGTGAGCCACCACACCAGCCTGGGATTTATCTTTTAGTAGACAAGTTTGTATGTTGCCAACTGACAGGAGCTGAGGCCTTTGGTGGAAAAATGCAGCCACTCCATGGTAACCCTACAGGGAGAACAAATACCCTGACCTCACTCTCCACCCCACCTCCAAAGGCCGTGGGAAGCCAGAGGGCAAGGGAGCCCATGGATGCAGCACATACGGGTCAGTCCCCAGCCCAGAGCAGGGAGTAAAAGGATTGCAAGTGGGTCTGGAGTGGTGCATGGAGGCCAGGGACGCAGTAGCCAGCAGTGAAGGTGATCCGTAAAGCCATAAGGCTGGAGAAGGGATCTCTTAGGAAGTGAAGCAGATAGAGAAGTGGACCCAGGTCACTGTGCTGGGACCCTCCAATATTTAGAGATTGAGAGATAAAATAGAGCCAGGAAAGGACCCTCCAAAGGAGCAGTCAGTGAGACAGGAGAACAGAGAGCCATGCCTGAGGCCAAGGGAAACAAGTGTGTCTAGGAGGGGGAAGGGAGGGAGGGCTGAGATAAAGACTCCAGAGAGGTCTAGTAGGATGAGGGGGTGTGTGTGTGTGTAAACAATGTACATAGCATATTTCTGGAAAGTAACAAAAACTATTAATGGCGGCTCTAGCGGAGACACCTAAGGGTAAACAGAAGAAAGGAGACCTAACTTTTCATTTTCTTCCATTTTTGATGTTCTCAATCATGTATCTGTATGAATTTTATCAAAGGAAAGAAAATAGGACTTTTTAAAAAGGCTCTCCCACCGCAAGAAAGATATAATTTTATAGAAAAAGCAGATCCAGGCCGGGCACAGTAGCTCATGCCTATAATCCCAGCACTTTGGGAGGCCAAGGCGGGTGGATCACCTGAGGTCAGGAGTTCGAGACCAGTCTGACCAATATGGTGAAACTCCGTCTGTACTAAAAAATACAAAAATTAGCCTGGCATTGTGGCAGGCACCTGTAATCCCAGCTACTTAGGAGGCTGAGGCAGGAGAATCCCTTGAACCCGGGAGGCGGAAGTTGCAGTGAGCTGAGATCGTACCATTGCACTCCAGCCTGGGCGACAGAGCAAGACTCCATCTCAAAAAATAAAAAAATAAAATTAAAATAAAAATAAGAAAGCAGATCCACAGTTTTTTAAAATCAATTGAAAGACAGGCTTGGAAGAAAACAAACAACCCCATCAAAAAGTGGGCAAAGGACATGAATAGGCACTTTTCAAAAGAAGACAAACATGTGGCCAACAAGTATATTTAAAAAAAAACCTCAATAGCACTGATCATTAAAGAAATACAAATCAAAACCACAATGAGATACCATTTCACACCAGTCAGAATGGTGATTATTAAAAGATAAAAAAATAACAGACGCTGGTGAGGTTGCGGAGAAAAGGGAATGCTTAACACTGTTGGTGACAGTGTAAATTACTTCAGCCATTGTGGAAAGCAGAGTGCCAATTCCTCAAAGACATAAAAACAGAGGTACCATTCAACCCAGCAATCCCATTACTGAGTATATACCCAAAAGAATATGAATCATTCTATCATAAAGACATATGCATGCCTCTGTTCATTGCAGCACTGTTCACAATAGCAAAAACATGGAATCAACCAAAATACCCATCAATGACCGATAGCATAAAGAAAATGTGGTACATATGCACGATGGAATACTATGCAGCCGTAAAAAAGAATGAGATCATGCCTTTTGCAGGAACATGGATGAAGTTGGAGGCTATTATCCTCAGCAAACTAATGCAAGAACAGAAAACCAAATACCACATGATCTCAGGAGTTCGAGACCAGCTAAATGATGGACATGGACACACAGAGGAGAACAGTGAAGGTTGGGAGGAAGGAGAGAATCAGGAAAAATAACTAGTGGCTACTAAGCTTAGTACGTGGATGATGAAATAATCTGTTCAACAAACTCTTGTGACACAAATTTATCTATATAACAAACCTGCAAATGTACCCCTGACCCTAAAATAAAAGTTAAAAAAAAAAAAAGAAAGAAAGGCAGGCTTGGGGATAACCCTGGAATTTGAGAAAGAGAGTTGATAGAGTCTGGGACAGGCAGGGCTGAGAAGAGAATGGCTGGAAGCATCTTCTCCACGTGTCAGTCCAGCCAATGGCTTTAGGAGCAGTGACCTCTGACATCTGGTTTAAATTATGTCCTGCTATGTGCTTCATGACCTGCCCCTCACTCCACTTCTTCCAACTCAAGACTTCAAGAAAGCTTAATTCGTCACATCTTAGTATCTTTTAAATAATTTTACATGTCATGCTTTAAGTATTTTCAGTCTTGTATATCAAAAATAAATCCCCCTCCTTAGATGAAATCACACAAGCTTGGCTGATGTCATCTTGGAAGGCAGATTCCTCCTAGTTCTCTTTCTGAAGAAGCTAACCCTTAGACAAGGTATTTCTTGCTTGCAGAGCACAGAATCCTTTGGATAGAAAGCTTTCTTTCTTTTTTTTTTTTGTTTTAGTTAAGAATCAGTTCCAAATTTGTGGGAATTATTTGAGGATTGTGCTCTGATTCTTATCACTATTGCAGGTCCCAAGGAGGATGGGGTCCTCGTTAAAGACTCCGGTGGAACCAGTCCCTCAGGAGCCTCAGGCCAACTTTAGGAGGCTTCTCACCAGTAGATGGAGGGATGAGATTGGGGGAGGGAACCGGTAAGAGGTAGCTTTGGGAAATTGCATCCTCTCCTTTCCTAGGGCTGCTTCCTTGGGTTGGGAGTCAGGGACTCCCAATCTAACAGACTTGAGATTTTTCTGACATAAGAGCTCTCCCAAAAGGGAAGGGCCAACAGAGGAAAGGGAGCCATCAGCCCAGGTCATCTCCCCTCTTGGAGCCTGACTGTGGCTGGCTAAGTTCAGTCAGAGCTCCACTTTCTTCTCCACTGCTCAAACTTCTCAGTATAGCCTGTGCCTTTGAGTCTCCCTACCTCTGTCCTGATAAAAAGAAAACTCCATGAGAGCAAGGAGTTTGTGTGTTTCATTTTCTGCTAATGATCAATGACTAGAATACTGTCTGGCACTCAGGTGAGTACACAGGATGAATGAATGCCCAAAATGCCTTTTCTGCAGCTCAGACTACATTTCAAGAGAAACACCCTAGACCAGCTTCTCCATCACCCCCTCAGAAATCTTCCAACCATCCATTTTTATAACCCCATATACATAGGTCCTGGGGTTGGCAGTCTCTACTCAGTGGTGTACCATAGC